TACAACATTTTGAAATGAAGCCTAATTCAAATCCAAGGGAAGGACCAACTAAGACTCCGTTTCATATGTTTATGTTTCTCGGGTTTTTTTTTTTTTTTTTTTTTTTTTCAGTTTTGAAAAATTTTGTAATTATTATAGATTGGAATTAAAAACCAAAAATCAACAATTTGTTTAAAATTAGACAAATTTTAACAAAGACAACTAAAAGTATAAACATGATAGTAGTATTAAAAGTGTTATTATTATTTTTTTTTAAGAATTATAATAATATGTTGAAATTAGGTACGAACTAAATGAAATTTTTATTTAAATTTGTAAACTTTTTAAAAACCAAAATAAAAAATAAAAAACAATACTAAATATATGAGAATTTTTTTTTTGTATTTTCATTTTTAAAAAAGAAAAAGAAAAAGAAAAAATATTCAAATTTAGTCGTGAGTCCTGCACCTGAATTTAAATGGAACCTTATAATTTTCGATGACTACACCAAATAGTCCTCGTAACTCTTTTATTAAAATAATTATATATTTTATATATAAAAAATGAAGATAATAACAATAATATCACTATATTATATATATTCAATAATATATTTTTATTTATATAATTTTTAAATTTCTAATAGTTTTTAACTTATGCGGTAACTAAATAATTGCCTAGTTACAAGGACAAACCTTCTCTTATACTAACAATGAGCTCTTTCTCCTCCATTCTCAATCGATGTAGGACATTGAAAGAGAAAGCAGTTATAAGGAGTTGTTGGTCAAGGCAAGGTCCGTGTAACATCTTTTAAATGTGTGATGAAAAGTTGATAATCTTGATTCCAAAGTACCGCATCGATTGGGAGTAGGGAGGAGCAAGTCTGTTGGTAGTTATAAGGCCAAACCAATGTGTCTTGTGAAGTTCATTCATTCTGCTCTCAATCCATTGAAAATACAAGAGCATAAAAAAACTGCTAGTTATGTGATTAGAGGGATCAAAATTTGCATAAAGGGACCAACAATTTAAGTAGTTCAGTGATAATCTCCTTTCGTTAAAAATAAAAAGTTTTGAATTTGAATTGCATGACATATGAGTGGGGTGAGATAAATTATGAAAATGAGATGGGATAAGGGATGAGAATGAGATGGGATAAGGGATGAGAATGGGATGGAATAAGGGATGTGAGAGGGTTATCTCTCATTGGACAATCAACATAAAAAAAAAAAAAAAATCAGTGTAAAGGGTTGTTGGTGTAATTATTCAAGCAAACTCAAGTGTTCAATAAGCATAAGTCTTCAAGATTGATAAAAAACAATTAAACTGGTCTTTTTTGAATTTGTTTGCACCTTTTAGAGATTGACAATAACTAAACATCTCTTCTAGATTTTAGATAGAACAAAATTATTCTCTTTTTTTAATTTTTAAATAATTGATGGGAGTAGAACTCTCAACTAATTGAATTCATTGACTAAGACTTAACAGTAAACCATTTGGTCTAATAGGTTAGTTCAGCAACGTTTCTTTATAAAAAGAAATTAAAAACTAAAATTGCATGATTGTCAGACTTACTAGTGACTGTAGAAGGCAAAAGTTCTTGACTTTTTGAGCTATTGTAAATTAGTCTTTAAATTGATTTTTGTGATAAATCAGCCCCCAAACTCTTTTGATTGATTGAAATGTACACTGACATATCATCCAACGTTCCTGAAGGGATCTAATTCAACGAGAATTATGATTGACAATTTATAACATGCATTTTAACTATAAAATGAGAATAAAATCCCCAACCACCTTTATTCTTTTTCTCTATTGCTTCATTTTTCTCCCTAGTCACTGTGACAACAATTCTCAACAATAAAAAAGATTGAGCCTCTCCCCCTCAACGGGTACGGAGAGGCTAAATAAAGGAAGGAGTTTCTTCCTCTTTAAAGTTCTATCACAGATTAAAGCCTCTTTAGTTTGTTATCCATTTCCTTGAAAGGGTAGAACAAATATGTAATTAAAAGAAATGCAAAAGGAGATCTCATAGCTTCCCGAGCTACCAAGATATAAATGCCCAAATGAACTCATTAGAGTTCCTATTCGCATATCAAACAAAATGCACATGAAAATTTTTTGCTTCTGCAGCAATGTAGTGTAATCTAAATCAAAGAATTCGAAAAAGCATCCCAGGAAAACATAAGTAATAGAAGAACCCTTAAGATGGAGAAGTTTTTAACTCACCTAACATTGAAGACAGAAAATATGTTCTACCTTCTTGAGATTCTGAAAGGAATCCCAAATAGGGATCAATTTAAACATCTGAATAGACATTCCTGTTTTCACATGCTGGATTTTCATTTACACACATCACTAAATTCTAGAAATATGCTTTGTTAAATAGTTCCATGCTAAGTTTGAAGTCCCAATTTTTCTGGCAACCAAACAAGTAGTGCTGGTGAAAGTACTCTTAAATGAAACAAGGACAAAATACTGGTATCCACAAACATTACCAATCACATTAGAATTAGATGAACTCACCACAAATCAACATGAAATATTTTCGAAGGCAGATACAATATTCAGACAAATTCCAGTTCATCTACTAACATTTCTTCCAAAATCAGAGATCATTCTGTTTTATTCGCATTAAGCAAGAATTCAGAACTCATGATTCCAACACAACAATTTTCTAATCCAAACACATTCTAAAAGGAAGAAAGCAATGGGTTTGTTCTAGTCTCCCTTACTTGCTGATGATTGCAGTTCAACCCACACCCACATTGAGGGCACTCTTCAAAATTATCGAGAGGAAAATCAGCACCTGCAATACCCACTGAAAATTCAAGATGGTCTCCTCTCCTTAAGACCTGCACGATATCGACCCACATGAAGAACAGCTTCACACTGACACCCTCCAATCTCGAGAGCTTTCCTCTGGAGATGTACCCTTTAATGTTGGACTTGTACCTCAACTGGTACGACCCCTCCAGAGAGAAACTGCAACTCCCGTTCAAGAAAGCAGAGAACTTCCCCGACGAAGAGTCGAGATCGTAATCAAGAACCCCTTTTGGAAGGATACCGATGGGGAAGTTGTAGTGGCCGAGGACTTCATAGGCCGATGGTTTGGTTACATGAGGGTTTGTTTCTACTTCTGTGGCAAGAGATTGTGCGATGAAGAAAAAAATGCAAAGAAATTTGAGGGAGAGTTTCGATCTTTGTGTCAAAATCATACCCATTTTTCTCTGATTCTCTGAAATTTTTTGTGGGTTGATCTTGATGATGTTTCCGTGTGTTTTTACTGTGTTGGAATGTTCGTTTGGAGAAGGGATGGTGTAGGTGGTAGGAAAGAATGTTAGTTGGAGGCTTCCAGGAAAGAGTCATGGTTGTCTTTGGATTTTTGTAGAGAAGCCTATTGGGACCAAGGTGTGTTGGATGATTATAAAATATATAATTCGTGAGTTTTTAAGAAATATTAAAAAATAAAAAACAAAAAAGTAATATTTAAAAAAAAAGGGGAATGAAGGTTATGCTTAATGTTAATTTTTTGAAGAATTTTTTTGTTCATAATCATCTAACTCTCTAAAACTTTACTACGGTGATCTTTGAAAATATACATAATAACAACAGTTTTAATGGAGTTAGAGATTTAAACTTACAATGTTAAACTAACTAACTCCCAATGCAGCATAAAAGAAAAAAAGAAAGAAAAATATATTATCAAAAAGGAGAAAAATACATTATCAAAAAGGTATTGTGCATCAAATTGTTTTAGATTAATAATTTTAACTAATAAAAAGGGATAAATTCTTTGATATTGAGAGCTCTTTCTTTATCTATTTAATAATTTATATTTTACAATATGATATAAGAAAACTCATATAAAAAACCGTCTATTTTCTTTATTGGACTAAAGTTTTTTAAGATAAATTATACATTAAAAGTGCAATTTGCCATACAAATTTATTACCCTTAATAAAATACTATAAAAATTTATTTTATTAAACTCATTCAAGTAAATTTATAGAACATACTACATTTTAATGAATAGTCTATTTTGAAAAACATTGTTTTGTTTTTTTAAATCATTTGTCCTGCCCAAATACATTTTTTCTTAATCCAGTGATCGGCCCACTTGAGTTTCAAGCTCGCGAAGCATCTTTTAAGGCCCCATTGTTGGGAAAACAGAGGAAATTTGAAATTACACTGGTAGCAAAAACAGAGGAAAAATATAAAAAGAATAGAATAAAGAAAGTGAGAGAATTTTGGGGAAAAAAAAAAAGGTGGGGGCGGGGGATGGGGGGCCTTTATAGCTAAAGAGGACAAATGAAAATAAAGATAAGGAAATAGTGCTTAATTGCATTACTTCCTAAAAATTATAAGAAATATTATTTTAAAATTATGTCATTTTAATAAGTATTTATTAAAAAAATTAAAATATTTATTTTTTAAAATATGAATTAAAGTGTTTTTTTGTTTTTTTTTTCTTTCTAATTTTTTAAAGTAAGATGAAAAAGCATTAACTCTAAAGATAAACAGTAAAAGATGACATTTAAAAAATAAAAAAGAGATTAGTTTAGTTCTAACCTCAGTTATGTCCTAACCCTTAATACTTAACTCAAGTTGAATATATGTAGCATTCCATTCTTATTTTGCAAGAAGATTGAAAAATTGGCCTAAGAGGAGCATTTTGGGTCCTTAAGAGTTTGTTTTATGTATAGTAGCTTTTGTAAAAATTTTATTTGGTTAGATTTTTATGCAGATTTATTAAATCATCAGTTCATATAAAATAATTATAAAAAATATTGAGAAATTGCATCCAAGCTTCAAATTTTGTCCTTAAAAGCTAAAATCATCAAATTCGAAGACTTTTTTAGAGATGTGTCTTATCCAGATTTAACTTTTTCTGTCAAAAAATATCTTTCTTAAAGCCAAGTCAAATAGCACCAAAACTCAAATGATGTTGTTGAAGTCACATCCTAATTTTGCTGTAGTATTTTTTTTTTTTTTTTTAACTTTGAAGTTGGGAATTATGTTTCAATGTTGCACGACGTATAAATACAGTAAATAAAGGAGAAAAATATAATTTTTTATTGAGTAATTTGTAAATAAAACAGTACTGAAAATGCGATATCAACTTGAAATTTACAATGCCAAAAAATTAAAACTCACTTATTTTATTATGATATTCTCCTCCAAATTCAATTTACTCTTACCTTTTTGCTTGCGACGGACTGGATTCTGCTATGAGGGGCTCACGTTGCCATCCATCCTCTCCATCATCCAAAGCTTTCTCTTCTTTCTTGGGCTTCCAATACATTGCATACAACACCAGTTGAGCCGTCCCAAGAGCAAATCCACTCCCATTTGGTATCTGCAAAAGAGCTTCCTTTCTTAATTTTCAAGACATCCTTTTTTGTCAATACCTATCATCTATATTTCCATGAGAACTCTGTAACTAGGCATGAAAATACAATGTTCTTATATCCTTTTCATACTTCGACTGAAACTTTCCAAAACCTTATCTGATATAATTGAAGATTGTAATTTATATAAAAATAGTGTTATATAGTTCAAATTACACCACAAATTGTACAACACAAATTATTAGATAAAGGGTAAAACTCATAAAACTGAGAGTTATCTTCCATCTAATGACTCATGTTTTATAATTTAGTATTATTTAAACTGTAAAATATAAAAGCTTTCTATATATTCATCACAATGATAATAGGAGTTTCTTTTCTTTTCTTTTTTTTTTTTTTTTTCCTTTTGTGGTACAATAACAATAGAAGTTAATCTATATATGATTAGGGGAACTTACACCAATAAACCAGTCTTTAGTAATCACTGCATAGACGGTCCAAGTTGCTCCATTGATGAAAAGGATGAATGAGAGTAGAAAAGGCATATACTCCACACTTTTTGTAATCACCACTGTTTTCTGTAGATAACCAGAACACCATTCAAATTACAGCTACAACTTCACATTAGATTTTTCAATCTTGACCTATTTCTTCTAACAATTGCAACAATGAGTTAGTGAAACCAATTAAGAGTTTAGCCAAATCAATACAAACCACATTCATTTGATTAAAAACTAACATATAATAGCTTAAGTAACTCATATTATATTTAAATTCACCAGTTTCCCTTCAGTTACCATGATTGAAAGGGGTGAGCCATAAGTAGCAATACTGAAGAGCAGGCACAAGAACCCTACAACACTGATCCGCAATTCTGTGTTCTTCAACACCAGCTGAATGATTAACGCTGCTGCCACTGGAAACACAATGTCCAAAACCACGAAAAGGATGGCAGTTATGGCCTAAAACACATCGTTTGCAGCCTCGAATTAGTTCAAAATCTTCCATTAATGAAAACAATTTAAGATTACTGCTAATTATATTCAAAAAAGAAGTGAAATGAAACTTACTCTCATCCTTGGGGGAGCAAACAGCAAGAAAATTGTGACATAAATAAGCTCAAGAAAAGCACCAAAACCATTAATAGTGGCAACAAGCACACTGTTAGGCTTGATAATTCCATAGTAGAGCCAGAGATATCCGTTCAATAACTTGACAACATAAGGAAGACTCTCAAATTCCTCTGTCGATCGACGCTGCACTATGTGCCAGAATGTTTTCCTAAAAGAAACCAGTTATCTTCTTCTTGGTCATCACATAAGTTTTTGCTTTCCTTTTCAATCAAAAACAGAAAATAAACTGAGATCTGCTTTTGTAGTATAACTTAAGTGAAGGTGTACTTACACTGGAGCAAGGTAGACTAGACCGGTTGTGATGTTACCTGCAAAACAATACAAGAAAACTATCTTAGCAAACTCCCCTCGAATCCTAAATCTCATAACCTTTCCTAATTTTGAGAAGAATTGAGGAATAGCAAAACGGTAGATTGATAGCGCTACCTAGCAATCCGAAGATGGTGGATAAGCTAAGCATGTTAGCTTCTGATACAAAGAAAAACTTAAGATGGGGTTTTTTGAGGCGTTCTGTTTATGTTTAAAGATTATTGAGACATTGAAATATATAAACTCGAGGATTGAAATTAAAAAATAAAAAAAGAGTTGTGTGTAATCTCATTGGATTGCATAAAACTTACCATAGATAAAAGTAAACTCTTTAATATTAAAATTATTTCACCATTCAATTATTTTTATTTTATAATCTGGTTAAAATAGGGAGCCTATTGAGACATAGAATCTTTTGTGGTATCCAGTTCATGCTTTGAATGACAAGTGAAGAAACATATTTAAGTTGCTGAATCCTGAATCATGGGTGTAAGATGCTTAAGAAAAATAAAACAAAAGATACAGACAAACTATCTTTCTAAAATTTAGACTAACATATTCCGATGATTGTACAGATTGAATTATTTTAGAATAGCCCACTCATCAGAGAGTGACTTCTGCCATTCTGCCAATCTCGTGGCCGGATGGCGCTTGGTGGTGTGGGGTTCCTTCCCTATAATTCCATCCCTTGATTATGAAAAGGAACCATTGTATTTAACAATCTACCTATTGGTTGATATAACACACATGTTGTTGCCGGTCATGATTGAAAATTTGAAATTGAATCCATTCATATAGCATAGTCCCCACACTTTAATAAAACTATGGATATCTTAATTTTAACAATATACAAAATTGTTGTAATAATAAAATTTATCATAAAATTCTTAAATAAAAACTCATTGTTTAACTTTAAAAAAATTCAATAAATACCTAATAAACTTTTTAAAAAAGAATACCTATTAAAGAGTATTTCATATCTAACGCATTTAATATTAAAATCCAAATTTAATAAGACTTAATTTTTTTATTAATTTTACTCCCACTTTCTTATTATAAGGTTTTGGCTTTATCTCTATTTGATATCTTTCCAATTCTACAAAATTAAGGCTACAATTTATTTCCTTAATGGACTTTTGCTTCTTTTCTTAAAGGTAAAACTACAGTGTTGGTTCTCAATTTTCTAAAATTTTTGCACTTTATTCCTAGATTTCATAATTCTATAATTTACTCATTTTATTTGTCTTTTGACTTTGTGAAATATTGTAATTTAGTTTTAAAGTTATTATTTTTAAAAGTTAAGTCCTATTCTATACAAATAATGGAAATAATGTAAAATTGAGCAAAATCATATTAAATCCATTTTAACCTATGGGCTTTAAAAAAATTTCAATAAATGCCTAATGAACTTAATTTTTTTAAAAATACATAATAAGGAGTGATTCATATCTAACATATGTAATATTACAATCTAACATTAATAAGATTTGATTTCTTATTAATTTTACTCATGCTTTTTTTATTATGGGTATGTCTTCACCTTTATTTGATATCTTTCTAATTCTATAATATTAGGATTACAATTATTTCCTATTTATATAAACGGATAAAAATGAAAAAAAGAAGAGGCGCTGAAACCCTCATCATTTATTTTCTTAATGGACTTCTGGTTTTTTAAAGGCAAAGCTATATATAGTGTTCATCCTCAACTTTTAAAATTTTTGAACTTTAGTCCTTAGATTTTATAATTCTATAATTTACTCCTCATTATTACCATTTTAATCGTCTCTGGACTTTGGGAAACATTGTAATTTGGTTCTAAATTTATGATTTTAAAAAATTAAGTTTTATCCTGTACAAATAATGGAAATACTGTAAAATGAAGTAAAATCATCTTAAGTCCATTCAAATCTTAACTATACATAAGATTGTTGTAACAACAAAATTCATGCTAAAATTTTTAAATAAATATCAATTGCACTCAAAAAATTCTCAATAAATACTCAACAAGATTAAAAAAAATCAATAAATATTTGATGGACTTTTAAAAAAATACATAATAAAGAGTAATTTATATCAACATATGTAATATTACAATCCAACTTTAAAATGTATTTGGGCAGGGCAAATGACTTTAAAAAAGCAAAATAATGTTTTTCACGATAGATTATACATTACAAGATAGATTATAGATTAAAATATAGTTTGTTCTATAAATTTAGTTAAATGAGTTTAAAAAATAATTTTTTATATTATTTTATTAAAGGTAATAAATTTGTATGACATATTGCACTTTTAATATATAATTTGCCTTGAAAAACTTAAATCCCTTAAAGAAAATAGATGGTTTTTTTATATGAAGTTTTTTTTATATCGAATTGTAAAATTTAAATTATTAAATAGATAAAGGAAGAGCTCTCAATATCAAAGAATTTATCTCTTTTTATTAGTTAAAATTGTATAATCTAAAACAATGTGATGCACAATACCTTTTTGATAATGTATTTTTCTCCTTAAAATTTTGATAATATATTTTTCCTTCTTTTTCTCTTTTATGCTGCATTGGGAGTTAGTTAGTTTAACATTGTAAGTTTAAATCTCTAACTCCATTAAAACTGTTGTTATTATGTATATTTTCAAGGATAAAGATATGTGCACACCCGGGTGTGCACACTCTCCCATTGAAAAAAAAAAAAACCCAACCCCAACTGGTCCTTTTTTTTTTTTTTCTATGTGGGGGTGCACACCCGGGTCAAATCAGCATCTTATTTTCAAAGATCACCGTAGCAAAGTTTTATGATTCTCAGTCGTCAAGGCGGCTGACATAACAAGCTGTTCGCATTTGCAAGTTTCCAAGTCAGCGGGGATGCAGATTACTGTCATCCGAGCCATCTCCAACTCCAATCATCTCCAATGCATGTTGGCGTGGTCAGGGACAGGAGAGGGCAGTTGTCACCCCCTTAGTGGGTGGTAAGTAAGCCCTCATCCTCAATGTCTTTGATATAAGATTTTTTATATATAAATGACATATATAAAGGCTGGTTTGCTGATAAAATTTTACTTTGGAAATGTAAGGACGCAATTAATTTGCAATTTTTACGGCAGTAATTTTGTATTGAGGGTTGAGACATTAATTTTATCGATGATCATGTTACATTTCATCACAATTGTTAGTCTGAATTTAATGTACAATCAAATCATTTCGTCCGACTGAAAATGGTATGTTTATAGATTAATGTGATATGATAAGTCTATGAGTTGCGAACAATCTAAATGATTCAGTGATCATCTTCTTTCGTTAGAAGTAAAAAATTTTGATTTTAAGTCACATGGCATGCGGGTAAGATAAGGTAAGATAAGGTAAGATAAAGGATGTGAAATAATTGTTTCTCATTATGCAATCAAGATTAAAAAAAAAAGTTTATGAGTTGGTTTAACTTGTATCCTTAGAATATAAATTAATTGTGTCATAAATATATTTTTTTATAATTAATTTACAATTAAAATTATAAAAGTTGATATATATTTTAATATTACTAATACCTGAATGATTTTAATTAGTTAATTGATTAAATTAAAATCAATATTTATACTTTTAATAAAACTTAATTATAAAAAATATATTTATTATACTCTTATCCTGTATCTAAGTGCACAGGATAGAAAAATCCTAAGTTTATAACTTATCATGTCATAGTGAACAAATTTAAATGATTTAATAATGATTTATTTTTATTAGAAATAAGAAATTTTAAATTTAAATTTTATGATATATAGATAAGATGAGATAGGATAAGAAATAAAGAAAAAAACTTGTTTCTTATTGTATAATTAAGATAAAAGATTTATTATTATATAATTAAACTTTTTTTTATTTAAAATAATTATATATGATATTTTATCAGAATTATTAGTTTTAGGATCCGTTTGGTATAGTTGTTTGAAGGTAGCAGTTAGCAATTTTATTCAAATCGCTAAGAATAGATATTTGATAAATTTATTTATTTCAAAACCGCTACAAATTAGGTGTTTGACAAAACTTTTTATTTAACGGTTTAGAACTAGCAAATAACGGTTAAAATCCAAACCGCTAATGAATTAAGAAAGCTACCTAAGGTAGCATTTTGTATTAAACCACTAATGGATTAAAATTTTTTAATTTTATTAACAAATTTATCCTTTTTAATTTTTTTAATTTTTTCTCCATGGTTTTTAATTAGTATTTATCTAATTAATTTCAATTTTATTTTTTTGTCTTTAATAACATTAAGTAATTATCATACATTTTTTACATTAATTTGTTATAAATAATAATATTAGCTTAATAAATAAAATTTACTAGTTAAAGGAAAAGATTAATTTGTTTTTACTTCATTTAAAGCTAATATAATTTTTTCTTTATTAAAAATAAAATTTAGTGTATGATTACATTATTGTAATTTATTTATTTATTATTTTTATTTTTATAAAATTAGTATTTTTAATAGTAAAAATATAAAAAGAAAAAAATACACTTAATTGTTTTTAAATATCATTATCAGTTATTTAATTTCAAATAACAACTGTTAATTATTATATAATCAAATAATTATATTAATTGAATTCGTTGACATGTTTTTTGCTATCCGTCATTCATTATCTGTTAATTGCTATTTGTTGTCCACTAGCTGTTATAGGATTTGATTTGATCTTTATTTAATATAACAATCCAACTTCACGAGCTCTAGTTGACCACGAATTGATAAGAATGGGGAACCACAAAACGGACTCCAAGGGTTGTCCCTTGAGGTAAATACTTAGAAACTCAAGTTAGTAATATTCTATACTTAGGGCTCTTTTTAGAGGGAAGAGCTCCAGAAAAGTCCTCACCTTTCATCTTTGAGAGGTGTGGGTGTATTTATAAACTCTTTGGAAGTGATTACATGTGTTGCATTTCTCTTGATCCATTTGGATCCATTTTAGTATATATGAGCTTGATAATGACTCATACTTATCTTCTTTATATTTGAGTCTCATGGACTTTTATTGCGTTTATGGGTTAGTTAGATTACTATCCCAACAAGAGAAAAAGAGGTGCCGACAACTTTTGTTTCTTTTCCTAAAGGTACGTAAAACTACTCCATTGGTCTCAATTTTCTAAAATTTTTGCATTTTAGTCCTAGATTTCGGAATTCTATAATTTATTAATATGGAGACAAAAAAAAGATTGA